GAAGGAAAGAAGGGAAGGAAAGGAAAGGGGAGGGAAGTGAGAGGAGAAGAGAAGGAAGGAAGAGGGGGATAATTACTCACGAACCATATAATGAGACTTGATCCTATAATGTGTGTGTGTGTGTGTGTGTGTGTGCGTGACCCTCCCAACACCCTGGCTGGCACACGGTGAAACAGACTCACACACAGACTCCCCCCCCCTCCCCCCCTCCCCCTCAAAAATATATGAGGATCTAAACAATATTCTTATAGACTTTCTAAATCCTCTAAATCCTTTCCTCTAGAGACTCTCCACCCTGCGGCCAGAGACTCCTCCACCCGGCTAGAGACTCCCTCCACCCGGCCAGAGACTCTCCACCCGGCTAGAGACTCCTCCACCCGGCCAGAGACTCCCTCCACCCCGAGCTAGAGACTCCACCCGGCCAGACTCCACCCGGCCAGAGACTCCCTCCACCCGGCTAGAGACTCTCCACCCCAGAGACTCCTCCACCCGGCTAGAGACTCCCTCCACCCGGCCCTCCACCCGGCCAGAGACTCCTCCACCCGGCCAGAGACCTCCACTCTCTCCACCCGGCTAGAGACTCCTCCACCCGGCTAGAGACTCCCTCCACCCAGAGACTCCCAGAGCAGCTAGAGACTCCCTCCACCCGGCTAGAGACCTCCACCCGGCTAGAGACCTCTCTCCACCCTGCCAGAGACTCTCTCCACCCGGCTAGAGACTCCTCCACCCGGAGACTCCCTCCACCCGGCCAGAGACTCCTCCCACCTCCACCCGGCTAGAGACTCCTCCACCCGGCCAGACTCCTCCACCCGGCTAGAGACTCTCCACCCGAGACTCCCTCCACCCGGCTAGAGACTCCTAGAGACTCCTCCACCCGGCCCTCCACCCGGCTAGAGACTCCTCCACCCGGCCAGAGACTCCTCCACCCGGCCAGAGACTCCCTCCACCCGGCTAGAGACTCCTCCACCCGGCTAGAGACTCCTCCACCCGGCCAGAGACTCCCTCCACCCGGCCAGAGACTCCTCTCCACCCGGCTAGAGACTCCTCCACCCGGCCAGAGACTCCACCACAGAGACTCCTCCTTCCCTCCACACGGCTAGAGACTCCCTCCACCCGGCTAGAGACTCTCTCCACCCGGCTAGAGACTCCTCCACCCGGAGAGACTCCCTCCACCCGGCTAAAGACTCCATCCACCCGGCCAGAGACTCCACCCGGCTAGAGACTCCCTCCACCCGGCTAGAGACTCCTTCCACCCGGCCAGAGACTCCTCCACCCGGCGAGACCTAGAGACTCCTCCACCCGGCTAGAGACTCCTCCACCCGGCTAGAGACTCCTCCACCCGGCTAGAGACTCCTCCACCCGGCTAGAGACTCCTCCACCCGGATAGAGACCTCCACCCGGCTAGAGACTCCTCCACCCGGCCAGAGACTCCCTCCACCCGGCTAGAGATTCCCTCCACCCGGCCAGAGACTCCCTCCACCCGGCTAGAGACTCCACCCGGCTAGAGACTCCTCCACCCGGCCTAGCTCCACCCGGAGAGACCTCTCCACCCGGCTAGAGACTCCTCCACCCGGCTAAAGACTCCCTCCACCCGGCCAGAGACTCCTCCACCCCCTCCACCCGGCTAGAGACTCCTCCACCCGGCTAGAGACTCCTCCACCCGGCTAGAGACTCCTCCACCTGCCAGACTCCCTCCACCCGGCCAGAGACTCCCTCCACCCGGCTAGAGACTCCCTCCACCCAGCTAGAGACTCCCTCCACCCGGCCAGAGACTCCCTCCACCCGACCAGACTCCCCCTAGCAGGAAGATCTAAGAATGGCGCACTGGCAACTTGAGCTTCTTCACGACTAGAAATTTTATATCTTTTTTTGTTGAGAATAAGTCGCGTTATTTACTTATCTCAGTACTTAACTCCTCTGAGCTTACTTATAATAGTAACTTGAGGGATTTGAAGTAGATTTAAGTGAGGTGTAGGTTTTTGTTTTTGTGTTTTTTTTCTCCATTATTCTCCCGTGTTTTACCTCAAGTGTTGCCACAAGGAGAGCAATCTTTTCCCTGACTGTGTTTACATTTTCTCACTGCTGGCGGTAATGGGGTTAGGTTAGGTTAGGTCAAGATTGCCCACTGAAATGTCGGGGTTTTTTTTCCTCATTGTTTTTTTTAGACGAAGACTGGAACACGAGAAGTTACCTGACCAAGTAATAAGTTTGAGACAACGAGAGTTATAAGGAGAGGGTTGAGTTATAGGTCAGGTCAGGTCAGGTCAGGTCAGGTTAGGTCAGGTCAGGTCAGGTTAGGTTAACATAAGAACATGAAATGGAGGAAACTGCAGCGGGCCTATTGACCCATACTGGGCAGTCCCGTTTACACCCAACCCCTATTGCTCATATAAGCATCAACCTATGTTTGAAGCTATTCAGCGTATTCGAGTTAATGATGATGTTTGGTAACTTGTTCCCATTCATCCACTACTCTGTTTCCAAACCAGTGTTTACCTATTTCACGCCTAAATCTAAATTTGTCTAATTTAAAACCATTGTTACGAGTTCGCTCCTAGTTGGATAGTTTGAGTACCTTTGTAATGTCCCCTTTGTTTAGCCCTGCCTTCCACTTATACACCTCTATCAGGTCGCCCCTCGCTCTACGTCTCTCGAGGGAGTGCAAATTAAGATACTGTGGTGACGTTAGTAAAACCCACAAACAACTGGACACGGTAAGGGTGTTAAAGGATCTTTTTTTTTTATCCCAGGGAGAACATTTTTACATTACTTCTCTCTGGGGTAAACAAGGCCACGAGAAACCTATAGGTACATTCACACTTGTTACTCTATTCAAAACATATATCCATATTTCTATTTTGTTTTGATGTGAATTCACTACATATTTTTTGATGGTGTGGTGGGGATATATTCGTCACCATCTTCTCACCATCACCGGGGTTTTGTTATGATGGTGTGGTGGGGATGTATTCGTCACCATCTTCTCACCATCACCGGGGTTTTGTTATGATGGTGTGGTGGGGATGTATTCGTCACCATCTTCTCACCATCGGGGTTTTGTTATGATGGTGGTGGGGATGTATTCGTCACCATCTTCTCACCATCACCGGGGTTTTGTTATGATGGTGTGGTGGGGATGTATTCGTCACCATCTTCTCACCATCACCGGGGTTTTGTTATGATGGTGGTGTGGATGTATTCGTCACCATCTTCACCATCACCGGGGTTTTGTTATGATGGTGTGGTGGGATGTATTCGTCACCATCTTCTCACCATCACCGGGGTTTTGTTATGATGGTGTGGTGTGGATGTATTCGTCACCATCTTCTCACCATCACCGGGGTTTTGTTATGATGGTGTGGTGGGGATGTATTCGTCACCATCTTCTCACCATCACCGGGGTTTTGTTATGATGGTGTGGTGGGGATGTATTTTGGGGTTAACGTATAAATTGGCGGGTATCTATTGGCACTGTGTATGGTTGAGTACTGTATATCTGTCCCTTATTTTAGAGAGGTGTGGACAGTCTCTCTCTCTCTCTCTCTCTCTCTCTCTCTCTCTCTCTCTCTCTCTCGTGTTTGTTTTCATTCTCTTGTAAATGTCGGCAGTTGAGACGTTAACGACACGTTGTGATAATTACGTTCTGGTGTAATGACGCGGGAAGATGGGGAGGCCTGACGCGGGAAGATGAGGAGGCCTGACGCGGGAAGATGAGGAGACCTGACGCGAAAAGATGGGGAGGCCTGACGCGGGAAGATAAGGAGGCCTGACGCAGGAAGATGGGGAGGAATGGCGCGGGAAGATGGGGAGGAATGGCGCGGGGAAGATGGGGAGGCCTGACGTGAAGATGGGGAGACCTGACGCGGGAAGATGAGGAGACCTGACGCGGGAAGATGGGACCTGATGCGGGAAGATGGGGAGGGGAAATGACGCGGAAGATGGGAGACCTGACGCGAAGATGGGGGAGGAAATGACGCGGGAAGATGAGGAGACCTGACGCGGTGCTTATGATGGGGAGGCCTGACGTGGTAAAGATGACTTAACTAACTATACTACGGTAAGGACGAGTGGAGTGTGAAGATGAGGGGGGGAGGAGAGGGAGTGGGAGGGTGGGGGACGGGGGAGTGGAGAGAAAGGGGGGAGGTGGGAGAGGGAGGAACATGACACGAGATATGAGGTAATGACAGATGGTAACTAACTGGAAGATGTTTAGTACCTTGGTGAGTGAGTGGTCCAGTTATAAACACATGGTCCGTCTTTAGTGGTGAGTCTGGTACTGATGGTGGTGACTGAGGTGGACCTGGTACTGGTAGTGGTGACTGAGGTTGGTACTAGTAGTGGTGACTGGTAGCTGGAGTGGACCTGGTACTGGTAGTGACTGGTAGCTGGAGTGGACCTGGTACTGGTAGTGACTGGTAGCTGAGATGGACCTGGTACTGGTAGTGACTGGTAGCTGAGATGGACCTGGTACTGGTAGTGACTGGTATCTGAGATGGACCTGGTACTGGTAGTGACTGGTATCTGAGATGGACCTGGTACTGGTAGTTGGTATGTGGTAGTAAAATCCTTCTTCGTTAGTTTCTTCCCTCACGTAACCTCCTGCAGGTGGTGGTCAGGTGTTGTGAGGAGATCCCTACGTGTCGATCTTGCTGTGGACGAGTCGCTTTCTTCACTGTTTCATTTATCATCAGTAGAGTGTGTACAGCCGCCACGATTTATTCCCTGGCGGAGAAAAAAACAAGCAATATTGTCGTCTGATTCTTTGTTCTTGAAGAGATGGTCGACTGCGTCCCCTGAAGGTCCCTCCAGCTGACCTCTCCTTGTCAATGTGGTCTCCTTGAGCGAGTTGAGGAGAGGAGTGCAATTCTTCTTGTGTGTGTGTTTTTTTTTTTTTTTGCAAGAGGCCGAGCACGTCCTCCACTTTACTATTGAGATATTGTTGAGGACGACCTTCCATCTCTTGTGAAAGTTGTTAAGGACGACCTTCTATCTCTCGTGAAAGTTGTTGAGGAAGACCTTCCATCTCTCGTGAAAGTTGTTAAGGACGCTTCTCCTATTTTTCGGGAAGTTCTATAGCGGGACTTTTCTTTCTTGTTCAGGATGATGTCTCGTTGGTTTCTGGAAGTTTATATTCATATGAAGTCTTCCCGGTGGCTGTGGAGGCTGACACACCATTATCATCCGTCTAGGAGGTTACTGAGGACGATCTTCCAATGGTTTCTGGAAGTTTGTTTGGACGATATGCCACTGGCCTCTGGAAGCTGTAAGGACGAGCATCCAATTGGCTTCTGGAAGTTGTTAGGAACTATTTCCCAGTGGTTTGTGAAGCTGTTGATGACTGTTGGTGTTGGTGGTCACGCTCAGTGGTTTTGGAGGTAGTCAAGAGCTGCCCCGAGCGCCCAGCCCAGACGAAATCCCTGGATCTTCTCACACACCTGGAAAGTAATGGTAATGTGTCAGCGTGAGCCACAATAACACATCATTAAAGCCCATCATTAACCTCCCAATAGAGGCGGAACTACACCAGGAAATGATGAGGGAGCTGTCTCAGATCACCCAGGGGAACTATTTAGCTTAGTCGTTATTGGGACCCACTCAGGGACCCCCCCACGATCTACCAAATGAACCATAACGAAAGGTGGCGATTCCAGAGGCGCTATCCGCATCGTTAACCTAAAAGAAAGAAAGAAAGAAAGAAAGAAAGAAAGAAAGAACTTGAGGTTAAGAGGTGTAAAAATGGCTCTTCGCTCCCCTCCCCCCCGAAAAAAGTCGAAATATCATTGAGGTATTTTTTCTCTTTCAGGTCAATTCAATTACTTGTTTTCCTCCCTTCCTCTCCCCCCCCCCTCCTCCCTCCCCCCCTCGCCGAGTGAATGTTGATCTGAGGCCTCGATCAATGGTACCAGGTGGCGATGATGAAAAGGTGGTTGTGTTGTGGTCGAGGGGAGACGGTGGGTGGACAGTGAGGGGAAGGAGATAGGAGGGTAGGGGTAGGCGAGACAGGAAGAGGGAGACGGTATCTGAAGGGAAGTAAAGGGTTGGGAGGAGGAAGGATAGGAGATAGAAGGAAAAGTGGTTAGAAGGAGGGAGGGAAGGGTGGGAAGGAAAAAGACTTGAGAAAATTGATTGGAAGGGAGTGCAGGGAGGGGAAACACTCTCAGGGAGGGGAAAATATAGGTTGAGAATTAGAGTGAAGAGAGAGAGAGAGATAACTTCAGTGAGGAAAGGAAGGAAGGGAGAGAGGGAGGGAAGGGTCATCGCAAGAGAGAGAGAGAGAGAGAGAGAGAGAGAGAGAGAGAGAGAGAGAGAAACTTGAATTAATATACACAGTTTATTTAGCCCTTCTATACCAGCTAAGAATCACTCGAAGGTCACCTGAGACATTTACCTGAAAGAAGTAATTAATAAATATCTTAGAGGATCACCTGGGCGTACATACAACATAGAATAATAGTTATAAAATACATATTGAAGTTATTACATTATTATATATATTTTTTTTTTCCCGTTAGTGTATAGTTATGTATTTTTTAAGGTGAAGAATGAAATACAAATAGTAATTAGAATATAAACACATGAGTTGTAGTTAAGATTAGGCCATAGGATAGGTGGTGGATAGAGGGATAGGAGAGAGGTGAGAGGGGAGTGAGAGGGGAGTGAGAGGGAAGAGGGATCTATTTAACAGGGTTGGTGATCAGGTTTCTTCAACGAGTATTATTTTGCTTAACCAACCTACACACACACACACACACACACGCACACGCACACGCACACTCACACGCAATTATTCACTCTCTCCCTCATTTGGACAGTAGAGAACACTCGATGTCTGGCAGTCTGTAAATTATTGCATTAATTAATTGTTAGTGGGTCGATGTTGAGAGAAAAATGGTGGTGTTTACTGTGTGTGTGTGTGTGTGTGTGTGTTTACTGTGTGTGTTTACTGTGTGTGTGTGTGTGTCTGTCTGTCTGTTTGTCTCTCGCAGGTAATTTTTGTCGTGTAAGTCTCTCTCTCTCTCTCTCTCTCTCTCTCTCTCCTCTTTCATTTTCTCACATTTTTCTGCTCTTTCTTTTTCGTGAAGGTAATCCTGAAAACGTGTGTGTCATTCTTTCCGTCTCTCTCTCTTTCTCTTTTCATCGCCATCTCTCTTTTTTCACCTTGACTGTCACTTTCTGTCTCTTTTCCCTCCCCGTTTGTCTTTCCTACCTGTTCTGTCACAGTTTCTCACACGCTTTTCTTTTACTCACAAGTTTCCTCCTGTGTGTCTCTCTCTCTCTCTCTCTCTCTCTCTCTCTCTCTGCCCGTCTGTTCTTCACTCTGTTTGCCTAACTGTCTGTCTCTTTCTGTCTCTCTGTCTGTCATCTTTCACCCTTCTCTCTTTCTCTCCATCTCTCTCTCACTATCTCTCTCTCTCAGTCTCTCACTATCTCTCTCTCTCTCAGTCTCTCACACTTTTCTCTCAGGTCGTGAATCGAAACGCCAGTGACCTGTGCTATTGGATCACTCTCGCTACAATTAGGCCGGCGGACCAACTTGACCTAACCGAGCCTAACTACTACCTGAGGGGATAGTGAGGGGTAGGTGAGGGAGATGAGGAGGTGAGGGGAGTTGGAGGGGTTAGGGTGAGTGGGGGGGGTGAGGGGTGATGGAGGGGTTAAACGAGGTCCCTTTTTCCTAATTTTAATCTAAGGTTTTGTCTAAAAGTTACTTAGTGTTCCGTATGTGTGTTGGTAGTGTTACTTAGTGTTCCGTAAGTGAGTGTTGGTAGTGTTACTTAGTGTTCCTGTTGGTAGTGTTAGTCAGTGTTCCGTATGTGTGTTGGTAGTGTTACTTAGTGTTCCGTATGTGTGTTGGTAAAAGTTAATACTTAGTGTTCCGTATGAGTGTTGGTAGTGTTACTTAGTGTTCCGTATGTGTGTTAGTAGTGTTACTTAGTGTTCCGTATGTGTGTTGGTAGGTTACTTAGTGTTCCGTGTATGTGTGCTGGTAGTGTTACTTAGTGTTCCGTATGAGTGTTGGTAGTGTTACTTAGTCCTGTATGAGTGTTGGTAGTGTTACTTAGTGTTCCGTATGTGTTGGTAGTGCTACTTAGTGTTCCGTATGTGTGTTGGTAGTGTTACTTAGTGTTCCGCATGAGTGTTGGTAGTGTTACATAGTGTTCCGTATGAGTGTTGGTAGTGTTACTTAGTGTTCCGTATGTGTGTTGGTAGTGTTATTTAGTGTTCCGTATGAGTGTTGGTAGTGTTACTTAGTGTTCCGTATGTGTGTTGGTAGTGTTACTTAGTGTTCCGTATGTGTGTTGGTAGTGTTACTTAGTGTTCCGTATGTGTGTTGGTAGTGTTACTTAGTGTTCCGTATGTGTGTTGGTAGTGTTACTTAGTGTTCCGTATGAGTGTTGGTAGTGTTACTTACACCTATATATCTGTTCCCATATTAAGCGGAACATTAAGCGACGACACTTTCTTTTTCCACTTCATTTTATCAGTGTCACGTACCGGCGTTTTAATATCCAGCTGCCTCCCTGTATGCATGTCTCGTGGGAAAAAAAACAATATCATGTTTTTTTTTGTTTCAAGAACAGAGAGGTGGGCGTCGCGTGCTGAGCCAAACTACATATTGCTTGGCTATTGGTCCGTGACAATGCCTTTCCCTCGGACACACACACACACACTCTCCACTGTATAAACTGGATGTAGTGTAGAAGGAAGACACCATAACTCAACACGGATATATATATATATATATATACTGTGTCTTAATAACAAACACAGTGTTGAAAATAGACTTACAGTGTTAGTTAAGAAAGATGTGTATTTATTTTTTAAGTTTTACGTAATGGTTGGATAGGAATTTCCCTCTGAAAATATGATGTTCTGAGTGAGGTAAAAAAGAAACTGGGATGCTGGAGAAGAGATCTGTATCAGTCTGTCTTGTGTCTGTTATCTTTCCCCCGGTCCCACTTTTATTTTATTTTTTCCTCTGTGTGTGTGTGTGTGTGTGTGTGTGTGTGTGTGTGTGTGTGTGTGTGTGTGTGTGTGTGTGTGTGTGTGTGTGTGTGTGCGTGTGTGTGTATCTGAGAAAAGGGGAGTTGACAATTTTCCTGTCTTGTCCTAATTCTTCCTACACTAGTTTTATTCTCCCTAAGACCTCCTCCCTTACTTAACATCCTTGCTAAACTTGTGATATTCTCCCTTAATATATCCTCCCTTGCTTAACATTCTTGTCTCCCTCCTTCACTAGCTTTATTCTCCCTTACTTAACATCCCTCATACACTATCATTATTCTCCCTTACCATCTCCTCCCTTTCCTTAGCATATCTCATATTCTATTCTCCCTTATTTCCTCCACCTCCTCCTCCCTGTAAATAATATCTAGACCTCCCTTCTCCCAGCCTTGTACAGTGACAGCTTTTAAATTTAACACAAACAGGAATTCTAGGAAACCTTACCACCACCACCACCACCACCACTACCACCACTACTACTACTATTACCACCACAACTACAACTACAATCTTACCACCACAACTACAACTACAATCTCACCACTACCACCACTATCACCACAACTTACACCACTATCACCACCACTACCACCACTACCACCACTACTATTATCATCAGCTGTGATATCGGAAATGGACAACGAGTTTAGTCCTTTGAAGTGACCCAGTCTAATACCTCCCCAGCCTGAAATGGTGTAAAAATATCGCCAGTACGAGCACTCACCAGCGCCAGGCAATGACCCCCGTGATGTTTGGGAACTTACAGTGTGTGTGTGTGTGTGTGTGTGTGTCTTTATGAGGACTTGTAAAGGAAGGATATTTCACCTGTTTAAAAAGATCCTTATTATAGTGCAGGACTCGAGGATGAACCTAATAGAGTGCCAAAGGATTCCTAGAAATCCTTACTTTAGGGTAGGACCTGTTTAACCATACAGGGTTGTTAAGGGAGGGAGGGAGGGTTATGTTTAGGTCTTGATGGCTCCTTGGCAGACTGAGACCTGAAAAGAACGCGTTTAATGGCAGAATACATCAGTGGTTTAGAGGAATGATTGGTGGTTAATGGCTGTATGGGAAGACGTCGACCAATCAGGGAGTTCCTTTGATGAGGGGAGGGATGGAAGGCGAAGGGGGGAGAGAAGAAGGGGGATATAGGGAGTGAAGGAAGATGAGGAGGGATAGGGAGGAGGAAGGAAGGGATAGGAAGACGAGGAGGGAGGGAGGAAAGGAGGCGAGGATGATAAAAAGTATATATATAATTTTGATGCTGAAATAAAGGGAAGGATAAAAGAAAGAAGAAGAAGAAGAATGAAGAGGAGAAGTTGAAGGAAAGGAAAGAGGAAACAACAGGAGGTAAGAAAGGAAGGGAGGAAGAGAAGGGAGATAAGGAAGAGATTAACAGACTAAAGAGGACATGATGAAGGTCCTTAAAGAGGAGATGACGAGGGAACGAAGGAAGGAGGGGAGGAAGGAAGGAGGGAGGAAGGAAGGTGAAGAGGAAGGAAGGAGGGAGGAGGAAGGAAGGAGGGGAGGAAGGAAGGAGGGAATGAATGAAGGAGGGAAGGAAGGAAATAGAGACAAATAAAACAGGAGAAGAATAACGAGGCTAAATAACGAGAGTAAATAACCATAAATAACAAGAATAACGAAGACATGAATCACTCACTAGTATCTCGGTGTCGTCAGAGAGGTTGAGGCCGTGGGTTAACAGGGCGGCCACGTACTGATAGTCGAGGCAGGCCAGAGGGTCCGGTAACATCCGCGGCTCTCTCTCACACACTGCCGGGCGACAGGTCAACACGAAAGGTTAGAGGTCAACCCCGTGGTGTAACGCCAGGGGAATAGGTCATTGAGAGGGAGAGAGGTCAAAGGTTAAGGTTGGAGGCTCAGAAGGTGGAGGACGGTGAGGTGAGGGTGGGGGGAGGGTGGGGAAGTGACTCATCCTCGACAGTAACTAGGGACTTACATTAGTACTCCCCCCTCCTCCCTCCCCTTTCCCCCTTCCTCTCCTACCCCTACCTTCCCTTCCCGTTGAATCTAGAGGAGGCCACTGCGAGAATAGGTCAGAGGTGAAGGGGTGAGAAGGTCAACGACGAGAGGAATTGGGAATTGGTGATTTGTAGATGGGGGGGGGAGGGGAAGGGGTGTAGGTGTGGTAGGGGAATGGGGAGGAGGGGGAGGGTAGAAGCTTTAAGGCCGAGAGAAGGTGCGAGGTAAACATACTTGTGGAGGTCATTGCACTAAAGGTCGAAGGGTGAGGTTGCTAAGGTCGAGCTCGGGAGGAAGTTGAAGTTGCAAGGTGAGGGAGTGAGGTCATGGGAGGTTGCATGGTGGAGGGTGAGGTTGTTAGGAGGTTGCAGGGTGGAGAGTGAGGTCATGGGAGGTTGCAAGGTGAGGGAGTGAGGTCATGGGAGGTTGCAAGGTGAGGAGTGAGGAGAGGTTGAGGTCATGGGAGGTTGCAAGGTGAGGGAGTGAGGTCATGGGAGGTTGCAAGGTGAGGGAGTGAGGTCATGGGAGGTTGCAAGGTATAGGTGAAACCATTGCAGGACTTTCGGTGACAAGAGAAATTGTCAGTTGCAAGAGGATAGATGAGGCCATTGAGGTAGAGGTCGGGAGCTTGTTAAGGCTATCAAGGAGAGAAAGTGGAGGTTATTGCAAAGAAAAGGGAGGTGGCAATGGAAAGATAAAAATAATGTTTGTAATACTAGCAACAACAACAAACACATTAACACAATCTAACATTATCAATAAGACTCTAGGACATAAACAAAACAAAGACAGACCAAATCCCTCACAAAGAAACAACAACAACAACAGTATATTGCAGAGCGTAATTATGCAGTATGCAACAGGTACGAGACATAGGTCAGGGGTGATGCAAAGAAGGTCAGACTCCACCGTAAGACCCGACCACCTACACCGCCTGACACCTGATACTGACCATCCCCCTTCCTCCCCCTCCCCCTCCCCCCTACCCCTCCTCCCCCTTCCCGTCCCTCACCCCCATCTTCTGCCCCCTCCTATTCCTCGTCCCCTCCCACAAGACCCCACCGCCTACACCATCGAACACCTGATACTGACCCTCCCCTTCCTCATCCCCTCCACTTATACACTTACAGACCCCCCACCTAATACTTACTTATACTTAAAGACCTTCACTTACTACCACTTACAATTGAAGTCCCCCCCCCACCCTTACCGGCTCTGTAAAATAACTTATAACCTTGTAAATCTTTGTAAAAAATATCGTCTTATAGTCTTGTAAATCAATCACCTCTGTAAAAAAAATCGTTGTAAATTATTGATGATTGATTTACAAGAATTTAAGACGCTGGTAGTAGTAGTAGTAGATGTAGGCCTATAGGGGTGGGGGAAGTGCTGAGGCGGATCATCGGAAAATGCATAATGGAGGTGGTAAAGGATGATGTCAGGGCAGCAGCAGGGAACCTACAAGTGTGTGCCGGCCACCAGGCTGGCGGGGAGGCCGCCATTCACGCCATGAGATTGATATTTGAGCAGCGTGATTGTGAGGCCGTTCTTCTGGTGGACGCTTCAAACGCATTCAACATACTTAACCGCAAGGCCGCACTGCACAACATCAAGATCAAGTGTCCAAGCTTTGCAATGTATGTTGAACACACCTATAGGAATCCATCAGACCTCTATATAGTAACAACAAGGCTCTAAGAGGTGATACCATCATACAGTCAACCGAGGGAACAACGCAGGGGACCCTGTTGCAATGGCAATGTATGCAATAGGCCTATCCGTGCTCCAACACACAATGAAATTTGAAACAACTGAGGTCAAGCAAGTGGCATTCGCTGACGACCTTACAGGAGCAGGAAAAGTGGAAGACATCAAAAAGTGGTGGGACCTGGTAACATCACGAGGTCCACAAATAGGGTACCACCCAAATGCCAGTAAGTCCTTCCTCATTGTGAAGCCAGCACATTATGAACGGGCAATGGAGGTGTTCGGTGGAAGTGAGGTCAAAATAACAAAGGATGGCCAAAGACACCTAGGCGCAGTAATCGGCACTACGGACTTCAAGACCAAGTACGTAACGGGAAAGGTGAATGAGTGGGTTAGTGAAATCCAAGCTGTCTGAGATTGCTAACACAGAGCCATATGAGGCTTTTGCGGCATTCACCCATGGAGTCAAGCATCACTGGAACTATCTGATGCGCACTATCCCTGATATCGGACTCCTCCTCCACCCTCTGGAAGAAGCTATCAGCGTCAATTTCATTCCCAAATTAGTGAAACACCCTCACTTAACCCCAGCAGAAAGATCACTCCTTGCACTACCACCGAGACTGGGAGGAATGGGACTGACCAATCCAGAGGAGATTGCTGCCACCGAACATCAAAACTCAGTTAAGCTCACGGCAGCCCTCACGGACCACATAATAGCTCAGCATGCAACAGGGGAGGTGGATACCAGTGAAGTAAACAAGATTCGAAGGTACATTACGACAGAACGACAGCACGGCCAAAGTGGTAAGTTGCAGCAACTGTTACTGCAAGTACCAGAGAATTTAAAAAAAAAAGTAGCTATAGCGCAGGAGGTGGGCGCCTCGAACTGGTTAACTACGTTACTGATAAGGACAAATGGTTTCAGTCTCAATAAACAAGAATTTGCAGATGCCAATGCTCTAAGGTACGGTAGGCCGTAGAAGGTTTGCCCTCCCAATGCGTGTGTGGCTCTTCCTATGACGTCGATCACGCCAGTGTGCAAGAAAGGGGGCTTCATATGCATGAGGCATGACAAAGTAAGGGATCTCACAGCAAATATGTTGAAGGAACTCTGCCGTGATGTCAGGGTAGAACCGACCCTCCTTCCAATGGACGGTGAGAATTTCCAACATAGGACCTCAAACACATCCAACGAAGCCCGTGTTGACGTCAGTGCTTGAGGATTCTGGACGCGGGGACAGCGAGCTTTCTTCGACATCAGGATTTTTTATCCCATGACCGCATATCACCGTAACTTAGCGCTCGATGCTGCACATAGGAGGAACGAGAACGACAAGATAAGGGAATATGGGTAGAGAATTCAGAACGTTGATCAAGGCAGCTTCACTCCTCTAGTGTTCACAACCTCTGGTGGGATGGGCCCAAGTGCAAGATGTTTCTACGCCAGACTGGCGTAGGTGATCTCCGAACAGAAGCAGCAGCCCAGAAGTTATGTTACAGCCTGGATGAGATGTCGACTGTCCTTCTCTCTCCTTGGGTCGGCTTTGCTCTGCCTTAGGGGAACGAGAGCATCGGCCCCAAAGCCGACAACAGTTGCAGATATTGACTATGAGGCAACAGTCACTGAATGCGACATAGATCTGCGGCTCAACTAACTCAACACAGCTAGGATAGCTACTTATGTATTAGGATATTTAATTTTAAGGTAATGAAATGGCGGCGAAGGTATGGCTATAGGGGGAGGATGGAGGCCATGTTTTTTGGTTGGTGTACTCACTTAGGGTGGCAGCCACTCTGAACTGGCCGACCTTCACGAATCCATAGGCCATGTCCGGCTCTGAGGACACACAAGAATACACTGTTAATACTGCGCTTAATACTGCGCTTAATAATGTGCTTAATACTGCGCTTAATACTGCGCTTAATAATGTGCTTAATACTGCGCTTAATACTGTGCTTAATACTGTGCTTAATAATGTGCTTAATACTGCGCTTAATACTGCGCTTAATAATGTGCTTAATACTGCGCTTAATACTGTGCTTAATACTGTGCTTAATAATGTGCTTAATACTGTGCTTAATACTGCGCTTAATACTGCGCTTAATACTGCGCTTAATACTTCGCTTAATAATGTGCTTAATACTTCGCTTAATAATGTGCTTAATACTGTGCTTAATACTGCGCTTAATACTGTGCTTAATACTGCGCTAAATACTGTGCTTAATACTGCGTTTAATACTTCGCTTAATAATGTGCTTAATACTGTGCTTAATACTGTGCTTAATACTGTGCTTAATACTGCGCTTAATACTGTGCTTAATACTGTGCTCAATACTGCGCTTAATACTGTGCTTAATACTGTGCTTAATACTGCGCTTAATACTGCGCTTAATACTGCGCTTAATACTGCGCTTAATACTGTGCTTATTACTGCGCTTATTACTGCGCTTAATACTGCGCTTATTACTGCGCTTAATACTGCGCTTAATACTGTGCTTAATACTGCGCTTAATACTGCGCTTAATACTGCGCTTAATACTGCGCTTAATACTGCGCTTAATAATGTGCTGATGGGAGGAAATGAATCATTATATAAGGCTCGTGTGTTTATATCCAAGGGAGATGATTATATGGGAAAGAACTTAGGAGAGGTGTGTGTTTATTCGCGGGTAATGTATATATGTTAAAACCTCCATATAACGGACTTTTACCTCCATATAACGGACTTTTACCTCCATATACCGGACTTTTACCTCCATATAACGGACTTTTATCTCCAAATAACGGATTTTTATCTCTACAGTGTTCGTGTATAGGGTGAAAATAAATGACAATACCTAAGTCATAAATGAAAAAAAAATATACATACGTGTTTTTCATAATTATATAGACACCAAGTAGGAAATAATAATAATAATAATAATAATAATAATAATAATAATAATAATAATAATAATAATAAATTGGGGAGGATTATACCGTTAGCGACACAGTTCATAGAGACGTAAAGATAAGGGACGATTTTTAGTGAGTTATGGACAGGTGAGAAATATACCTTCAGTCTCGTTAATTAAACTCAGGTGTGTGTGTGTGTGTGTGTGTGTGTGTGTGTGTGTGTCTTTCTGTTTCTCTCCCTTTCGTATATTAATTATCTCCCTTACATCCAGTTCACCATTCTCTCTCTTTCTCTCTCTCTCAATTACTTCCTACCTTCCTTTACTCTGTGTTTTCGTTCCCATTCTCCTTGTCTTTGTCTCTCTCACTTTACTGTAATTGTTTTCCTCCCTTTTCCTCCTCCTTTTTTCCCCGACTGTTATTGACCCCATTTTCCCCCCTCCTCTATCTCTTGTTCTCTGTCTGTCTATTGCAGTTACTTGCTATCTCCCTCATTTCTTCTTTCCATTTCACTATACTTTGTCCTCATTCTCTCTCTCTCTCTCTCTCTACCTCCCCCATTCTGTCTTTTTTATCTATCTTGTTTTCTTGTCATATTTTTTTCTCTCTCTCATTCTCTCTGTGTGTCTCTGTCTCTCACAATCATCTCCCTCCTAGGCACACTTACCAATGAGGTTAGCGCTGGCGGCGACGAAGTAGAAGGCGGTGGTGGCTAGTAGTGTGGTGTGGTTGAGGGGAGACAACTTGATGTGTTTCTTGACCACGCTCGTCACCTCCCTCCAGCAGTCCTCAGCACCTGTCCCAGCTCCCATACCTGTCACTAAATACGTCACGTCCTCCACCTTGAACCTGCCTATAGAGCCGACAGGTAAACAGGTGGTACGGAGCATGTGTTCACTTGTGAGTAGGTCTCCTCCTCCTCCTCCTCTTCCCTCCTCCGCGGACTCGTTTTCTGTGGTGTGTCCCGGTGCTACGTTTTCTAAGTCACTTTTTACTGGAGGAACTGAAACATTTATCGCTTCCGTTCGTGGTGTTCTCGCATTCCTGCTGTCAGTTGGTTCGTGTTGGCTCGTTGTCTCAGTTAAAGTATCGTTGGAATGACCATTAGCGTCTGTGAGGGTCGTGGCCACACTAGCGTTGGGACTACTTAACTCGTGTAGCTGAGGCGCACCTGATGGGGGAGAGGCAGGAGGAACATCCGCGGTAATCCCTCTGACATCTCCGGTAGTCCCCGGGTCGACCACTCCCTCAGGAGTCTGTCTGCTGCTGCCGCTGGGAACACGGAACAGCAGATCCTCTAAAGACGTCCGGATTAACTTCTCGGTAGATTTTATTTCGCTCTGTACCTGACTGTTCTCCGCTGGCTTGATGACCCGCTCGTTGGGCACAGTGAAGAGGAGGTCGGTGACGGAGGAGATCGTCTGTTTGGAGGACGTGGCTGCTGGGGACGTCCTGTTGTCCCCTGAGGTCCCCGCCACGCCAGACTTATTACCGTGGTGTGAGAGATCGAAACCCTGTGTATAATTAGTGTGTTGGTTCGTCTCTGTGGCGTTGACAGAGTGACCCATGTCTCCGTCATAAGTAGTACCGATACCACCGTCAACACTCGGTACAGTCTCACCATCAGAACCAAGTAAAGTATCACTCTCAGAACTAGGAACAACTTCACTGCTAGAACTAGAACCACTAGTGTTGTCATGCCTAGAAAGTCCCTCCTTTTCTGTACTAGACAACACTACTTCACCACCTGATGATTTAGAAGTACTGTCACTACTATCACTACTAGGTATAGATACACTCTCACTTTTAGATTTAGAAGTACTGTCACTTTCAGATTTAGAAGAACTGTCACTTTCAGATTTAGAAACACTGTCACTTTCAGATTTAGAAGTACTGTCACTTTCAGATTTAGAAACACTGTCACTTCCAGATTTAGAAACACTGTCACTTCCAGATTTAGAAACACTGTCACTTCCAGATTTAGAAACACTGTCACTTCCAGATATAGGTACACTACTGTCCTCAGATACAGAGACAGTGTCACTTATTAATTTAGTAACGTTTCTGCTGGAGGCGCTGAAATGTTCTCTCCTGCTGCTGTCCTCGGCGTCTCTCACTTCTACTCCTCCTGTTCTCTCTCCCTGTGTTATGTTCTCAGGAGTTTGGGTGTTCTCATCATTCTCATTCTCTCTCTCATACACTTCACTTCTTCTCTCTGTTTCTCCCGGTTTTCTTCTTTTACCCTTTCTCCCAATTATTCTCCTCCCTCTTCTTTCATCTCCCCCTCTGTTGTGTTTCTCTTGAGGTGATTCTTCCCCTTCTCCTCCTTCTCTCTGGGTAACAGGACTACCTCTGCGTTCGTCCCTCTTCCTCTCCACCTCATCCCTTGCCGAGCCAATAGAGCGAAGGATAGAGTCTACCACTGTCTTCACCTTCGCCAACGTCTCCTCCATCCACTGATTCGTGATCCTTACGGGTGGAGTGTGTGGAGGCCGCGGGGGTGTGGGAGTAGGGGGGGGAGAGTGTGGAGGAGGAGAGGACGGAGACGCGGAAGATGGAGGTGAAGGAGAGGTTGAAGGAGAGGGACGTCCTGAAGTCGGGCTCATACCCCTAAGGACGTCATCCAGCTCCGTGTACTCCTCTTCAGGGGGGATGTCTGAGCGGTGGTGGGTGGTGGTTGGGGGTGACTGAGACGTAAGGTCCACCCCTTCCCCTGATCTCCCCCCGTCAGTCTCTCCAGGGATGGGGGAAAGGCGGATGATACTGCCACCCTGTAGGACCTTCACCCTCACCGGATAGATGCCCATGGGGACGCTGTGGGAGGAAGAGCTTCACTATACAGGACCAGTGTGTCGGAAGTTTGATCAAGTTTACACACCAAGTTGGGGGAAAGAAGGAAGGAAGGAAGGAGGAGGAAGGAAGAAGGAACTGAGTTATATATTCTCACACACTGGACTTATTTGTTAGATTACATGAACTATTTTCGAGGAGTTAATTATGTGTTTTATGAAATAAATAAATAAAAACCATGTAAACATTTTATACAACAAACTGAATAAATTGTCCATTCCAGCAAGAGAGAGAGGAGAGAGGAGAGAGGGAGAGGGAGAGAGAGAGAGAGAGAGAGAGAGAGAGAGAGAGAGAGAGAGAGAGAGAGAGAGAGAGAGAGAGAGAGAGAGAGAGAGAGAGAGAGAGAGAGAGAGAAATCTCAACGATATAAACAAAAGAAATTAATTTACAAATTCTTTGAAAGAACATAAGTGTTATAAAAGGTTGAGGCTCGTGTGTGTGAACCTGTACCACTGCAAACACTGAGGTGAGATGAGGTGAGGTGAGGCGAGGTGAGGGAGGTGAGGTGAGAGAGGTGAGGTGAGAGAGGTGAGATGAGGTGAGATGAGGCGAGGTGAGGGAGGCGAGGTGAGGGAGGCGAGGTGGGAGGGGAGGTGAGGCGAGGTGAGGGAGGTGAGGTGAGGGAGGTGAGGTGAGAGAGGTGAGATGAGGTGAGGCGAGGTGAGGACACCGGGAACATTCACCATCCTGACCATCAATCTCGTGGTTGTTGAGGGAAAGCAAAGTGTTGAGGGGAAACATTGATAAACATTACAAGAAGTTTATTGAGGGGAGAAGGGGAGACCCATAGTGAGGGGAAACCGATGACTTATTTTCTAACCTAACCTAACCTAACCTCACCTCACCTCACCTCATCTCATACAGTAAGGTTCTATTTGACGGTCGTTCACCTTGAGGTAGGTGAAGTGTTTGTACTGCTCACCTGGAGGCGAAGAGCCAGTATTTCTTAGTGGGTGAACAGCGGTACGTGATGTTTGGGGCGTCGAAAAGATTCCTGAGTTCTCTCCGTGTTCGCTGCTCACTTCTCCCTTCTCCTGTCTCAGTGTAAGGGACGTCTGGTGTCTGGTTCTCCTGATGGTGGTTCTCCTGATGGTGGTTCTCCTGATGGTGGTTCTCCTGAAGGGTGGGTCTTATTCTCGAAGAAGGAGAATCTTCCTCAATAAGGAGACTTTGGTTGCCATTTCTCCCTGAGTAATCGCAGCTACTACTGGTCAGCTCCGCCTTCCACGACAGACTCTTAGTTCTGTAGCAGTTCACGCCCTGGCCGCCAGATGCCCTCAATTTCCTGCCAGTCCCCCGGCGTCGCTGTGTCAGGGCGGAGACTTGCCGTTTCTTACACCTCAGATCCCCCTTCCTCTCCCGGGACGAGTTGCTGACGTCTCTCCATCCTCCGGAATCTCCAGATCTTCGTCGGGATTTGTCGCGGGATTCTGGCCTCGTCTCACGCTTTCTTCTCTGTGTTAATATGTGTTTTGATCTTGGGTTTACGTCGGTGCGTCTCTGTCGTGATCTTAAGTTATCATCTGCGTCCGTCGGTTGGGATCTTAAGTTTACCTCCGCGTCGGTCGATCTTGATCTTGTGTTAACATGTGGATCTTTGGGTGTTGAGCCTGACAATCTCTTAAAGTCTCTTCTTACCTTAAGACTCCGCCTCTTCTGGCCGGGAGACTCTGGCTGCCGCTCCACCATAGACTCGGTGTGAGGGGCCACCCGCCACCCTCCAGGCACTATAAACGGAGCGGCTAATTCTCTCCTGTTTCTTCGGTCGTGTTTTCTCCGCCTGGTTGAGTAACTGTCCTCAGTGGATCCTGTAAACCAGTGCCGGCCATAAGACCCACGTCGTTGAACCCTTCTGCTGGCGGCTCTCGCCCTCCATCTCTGTGTCTTCTTCCGACGTCGACGAGGACGACGATGGTGACGCTGACGACGTATGGATGGTCGAGTTTTTGTCTGTCCTGGATGGTCGGAATTTCTAGCAAAGTTTTTATCTCTGTTTTGCGGCGAGTGGTGGTGGTGTCTGGTGGTGGTGACGTCACTTGAGGGTAATTTGAGTGACGGACCTCCCTCACCTCTGACACGCCACTGTATTTGTAAAGTTTTTTTACCCTCAAGCTTCGCGTCTTTCCTGGTGATGGCTCTCGATCGGTTTTTCCTTACCCTGCGCCCTGAAGAAGTCTCCCGGCCCTTGTTGTCTGTCTGGCTGAGAGTCGCGCCACCTGATGGATTTGGTGAATAGTGTTTGTTTTTCTTTCTATTTATAGTACCAGAGTCTACACCAGCCACCGGGACACCGCTTCTGCCTCTCCCTCGACGGTAGACTCTTCGAGGACGTGTAGTAGCGTCTGGTCTCTTGTACATGGCTGCTACTCGAGGGTCAGCTGCTTTGTTTACATCTTGAGGAGTTTGAGATGACTTGACCTCCTGTGAAGCTTCGATCCCCCGTAATCTCGAGCCTTTCCGTCTTTGAGCTGATAGTCTTTGTTGTCTTGGTCTCCGTCTTCCTGAGTGTGTTCTTTGTCTTCCTCTTAGTCCATACTTTCTCCTTTTTTCTCTCCTGTGTTTTCTCTCTCCTGTTTTTTCTCTCCTGTGATTCTCTCCATCAATTCTCTTATCTTGGCTCCTCGTCGACGTTGCTTCATGACCTGGATGTTTCCTCTCCTCCCGCACGTCCTGGTTTTTTCCCACGCCACTCTTATCAGGACTCACTTCCTTCCCCCGCCCACGATTATCTCCCTGCTCATTACCTCCTACATATGCACCGACGCTCTCACCTTCCCCGGCCTCGTCTGAAGCGGGCGAGACTCCTCCTCCGATAATCACCCCATTACCCTGGCGTTCCCTCAGGGGTTTGGACGTCGACGATTCCATCTCAGGAGCCGTTGTTTCCCTCCCTCGGGATTGTCTTCTTCTGTGATCTTTCCTGTAGTTACCTTCTTCATCGTTTGTTCTGGTCCTTGAGGAATCTTGAGTTCTTTCATTATGACGGTGATTGATGTTACCGAGTCCTCGTCTCCGTGGTGATGTGGTGACAGGACTCGGTACCCGATGGTGATTTTTCTGTTGTCCTCGACGACCTACGGTGTGAGTGCCCTGCGAGGCGCTCCTCTCCTCGGTCTCGTGATCATCCTCTCGTGATCCTCGTTCAAGTCCTCGAGGAAGAGCAGTTAGCACCTCAGTGATCTGTGAACGAGTTGTCGGAAGCGCCCCCGTAGGAGATGGATCGTCACCCGAGTCTGTGTTATTGTTTATTTCCACCTCAGAGCTGTTGTTGTCAGGTTTTCTTCTCTTTGGTTTCTTTTGGTTGATTTTCTTCCTTCTCCGTCTCTGTCTTCTCCTTTGTACTGTGGGTGGCGGCGTGTGTATGTCGGACGGTGGTGGTGGTGCTCCAGGGTGCCTGATACTTAAGCTGGTATAATTGTAGGAGAGGACGGGATCACTGACGGCTGTATCTTCGGCTGCAGCTAGGAGGGAGTCCCTTCTCCACGTCTCCCTCTCTCTAATCCCCGTCGAGGCAGTTGGAGGAGGGGTGTGTTGGGTGGAGGTCTTTGGAAGGGTGTGTTGGGTGGAGGTCTTTGGAGGGGTGTGTTGGGTGGAGGTCTTTGGAGGGGTGTGTTGGGTGGAGGTCTTTGGAGGGGTGTGTTGGGTGGAGGTCTTTGGAGGAGTGTGTTGGGTGGAGGTCTTTGGAGGAGTGTGTTGGGTGGAGGTCTTTGGAGGAGTGTGTTGGGTGGAGGAACTCTTATTTTGTCGTTGGTGTGTACCTCTTCCCCCTACATTTCCCCCCACTCTATGCCTCTCTTCCTCTTCCCCGTTTTTCTTACCTTGTTGCCGTCTCTTGCTAGTAGTTACTAGACGTTGGTGGTCATCTCCGTGTTTATCACTTACTTCCTGGTTCTCCACTTCTCTCATAGTTCCTCTTTTCTCCTCCTCCTCTTCTTCTTGATCCTCCTCCTCCTCCTCCTCTTCCTCACCCCGGCCCCAGTGGTTCCTTCCTGACCCCGGTAATTGAGGCGTTAATTTGACGTCTGGGTTCTCATCTGCCGACCCAACCAAGGGACGTCTCGAACTCTTCCCCAGTCTCTTATTCTCTCCTCTTCCTTCTCCTTTCCTTCTCTCTCCACCTCCTCCTCTTCTCCTACTACCATTCGTGCCCTGAGATACACTGCGAGATGAATTAGTTGAGCTATATCGATTCTTATGTGCTTTATCACTTGAGTTTATTTGAGGAACTGATTCGCTTGAGGCGGTGACACCCGTTCGAGGCCCTTGAGTCGATGCTTCTGTCGGGATGGTCGGTTCTGTGTGAGCGTCTCTCGTATCGTTTATTTCGTGGTGTGTTCCCGACCCTTCGCTTCTTCTTCTCGGGTCTTCTGCTTCTTCTTCCCTCCCACTTCTTCTCCCCTCTTCACTATTTTCTCTAACGTTAATCACTTGCCCTCGTCTTTTATGATGCTGCCGGCTATTGGGTCTTTCCTCACGCTCACTGTCAAGTCTTCCTCTACCCACACTACTGGGCGCCTCACTATTATTATTATTATTATTATTATTATTATTATTATTATTATTATTATTATTACGATATTTTTGGGTTCTATTGTTATTATTATTATTATTATTTCTTATTAAATCATCGCTTTGTTGTTGTCTATTACTGAGAGTCTCATTTTTATCTCCCTGTTCACCATCTTCTTCTCTCTCTCTCTCTTGCCTTTTCATTTCTATGGCTTTTCTTATGTGTTCTGGAGGTCCCGGTAGTGGTATGGTCACCTGGAGAGTCCCGCCCCCCAGGTCTGCTGTAGCCAATGGTAAGCTATTATTCTGATACAAGCGACCTGATTGGATGATAAACATAAACAAGAAATGAGTTTGTAAAGAAACGTTCTGATTGGATGAAAAAAAAGGGTATTTACTGTTATTAAAATCAAGTTAATGAAACGTAAAATATATGTGAATTATATAATTATTCTTTCTTCATTAAGTTAAGAGCTATATGAGAATTATATATTATAGCAGTTTTAGAAGGAACTGATATACAATAATGCAGAGCCTCATTTACATATTTTGCGATGTAATTAAGATGTAATTGGTAGAGCTAACGGCTGAAGATTATACTTAAATGAAATACTTAAAGCTGAGAACACACACACACACACACACACACACACACACACACACACACACACACACACACACACACACACACACTGGGACATGTTAGCACCTCAAATATTTACAAAGATCAGTTGTACATTTCTGGCAAATCTTCTGACGGAATTGTACGAAGATGTAAAATGAGAGAGAGAGAGAGAGAGAGAGAGAGAGAGAGAGAGAGAGAGAGAGAGAGAGAGAGAGAGAGAGAGAGAGAGAGAGAGAGAGAGACTTCCACTGGGCACCTGAAGCAAACAACAGACACACACACACACACACACACACACACACACACACACACACACACACACACACATGGTGGAGACTCACTGTCAGGAAATTCCGCAGCGAGCCACAGGTCATGGCTTGTCGTGGTTCCAGCCATGATGGTGACGTGTTGCTGCTTCTCACCTTACAAACGGCGTCCTTGCTCGTTTATCTTCCTGGCCTGGGGAGAGGGAGGTGGGGAGAAGGGAGGGAAAAGGGGAGAAGGAGGGTAGGGAGGAGAGAGAGGGGGGTGGGGAAGGAGAGATAGAGTAAGAGGAGAGGTATCAAGAATGGAAGGTGAGAGAAGGTAGGGAGGGGAGGAAGGGCAGGGAGAGAGAGAGAGAGAGAGAGAGAGAGAGAGAGAGAGAGAGAGAGATAAATCAGTTAATTATCCAACACAACATAACACAACATAACACAACCAAAACGTAAACACTATCCATAATTTTCTGTTCGGTTTAATGATTGAATGAACTTGTGAACACCTGAGCACTACAGTTTCGATAATATTTAGGTAATTAAGTTTTTCGCGCACCTGAGACAAATGGATTAACATAGGAACCTTTGGTTGATTTAAAGAGCCAACAGGAATGTAATACTGGGAGAGAGAGAGAGAGAGAGAGAGAGAGAGAGAGAGAGAGAGAGAGAGGCAGTGTGGAGAGAGAGAGAGAGAGAGGCAGTGTGGAGAGAGAGAGAGAGGGCAGTGTGGAGGAGAGAGAGAGAGAGGCAGTGTGGAGAGAGAGAGAGAGAGGCAGTGTGGAGAGAGAGAGAGAGGCAGTGTGGCAAATGTTTTATTTTTAGAAACTTTCAACTTAGTTATTGACACCTCTGGTCTGCGTGACGTCAGAGTTGTCTTTTTATGGTCAGGGGTCAAAGGTCACGGAACGTTTGTCAAAAATACTGGATTATAATAAACTTTTATATTTTACCTTATATAGAAAAATACTATAAGGGAACTTTATTTATTCTCTTTTGAAATTTATATTGAAAGTTTCTTAGTATTTAGTAAACAGTCATAGGAAAAGATATTTTATAATCTGGTATAAAATTCATATAGTGAACTTTGTAACGTTTAATTTCTTATATAATTATTCATATAACGAACGTTCTATAAGGTATTGAAGGGAGGTTTTAAAAGGTGTATGGAGTGAGTCATAACAGGTTGATAACGTGTACTGTACAGGTGTATTGAAAACGTGTGTGTGTGTACAGGTATGTGAGTATGTATATGTACTGTATGTATGTATGTATGTGTACTGTATGTATGTATGTATGTGTGTATGTGTGTGTACCGACTCACCCTGTGTATAAGCCTGGTGGCGTGGGCGCGTGGCAGTCGACGAAGGGAAGGCGTGCTTTTTGCGTGATGAGAGTCGTGTGTTCATACTCCTCGGAACGACGGCTCGGGCGCGGCGTAGGAGAGCAGGCAGGAGGGTTATCTGTGGGAGGAGGGAGGAGAAGGGGAGGGAGAAGAAGGGAAGGGAGGAGAGGAGGAGAAGGGAAGGGGGAGGAGGGGAGAGAAGGGAAGGGAGAGGAGGGAGGAAGGGAGAGAAGGGAGGGGAGAAGGGAGGAGGTGGAAGGAGGGAGAGGGAAGGGAGGGAGAAGGGAGGGAGGAGAAACATATTGCCTTTATTAATGTTTATTTATTTAAGTTTATTTTGAGAAGATGTGTCATACCTGGGTGTGACAGTGGTGGTGTGACAGTGGTGGAACGACAGTGGTGGGTGTGACAGTGGTGGAGTGGTGGTAGTGGAATGACAGTGGTGGGTGTGACAGTGGTGGGTGTGACAGTGGTGGAATGGGTGTGGCAGGTGTGACGGTGGCGGGTGTGACAGTGGCGGGTGTGACGAGTGGCAGGGTCAGCGACAGTGGTGGGTGTGACAGTGGTGGGTGTGACAGTGGTGGGTGTGACAGTGGTGGGTGTGGGTGACAGTGGTGGGTAGCGTTGAAAGCAGCAGGGATTAAATCATTAACTGAGGGGTTAAATCATGGTACTCAGTACTCAAAGGGTTAAATCATAGTACTGAAGGGGTTAAGTTATTGTACTCAAGTGGTTAAATCATAGTACTCAAAGGGTTGAATCATGGTACTCAAGTGGGTTAACTCGTAGTTATCAAGGGGTTAAATCTTAGTACTCAAGGGTTAAACTCAGGGGTTAAATCACTAAGTACTCAGGGGTTAAATCTTCATTACTCTCAAAGGGGTTAAATCATAGTACTCCAAGGTTAAATCATAGGTAATTCTCAAAGGTTAAATCATAATACTCAAAGGGTTAAATCATAGTACTCCAAGGGGTTAAATCATAGTACTCAGGGGTTAAATCATAGTAGTACTCCAAGGTTAAATCATAGTACTCAGGAGGTTAAATCATAGTGCTCAAGGGTTAAATCATAATAGGGGTTAAATCTTAGTACTCCAGCAGGTTAAACTCATTGAAATAATACTTTTTTAAAATTTAAGTTTTATACAAATATTATAACAATGTAGAATTAAAAATAATTAAATATAATAGAAAATTGAAATATAGTAAATAAAAGCGACGTGACTAAAAAGACTCAAGAAAATGCAATTGCTGAGGAAACATTTATATTAAGATGAGATGCAACTTAATTCAAATAATGTAAATGTATATAATATTGCACGATGAGAATTATAAAATTATTTACCTGGTGAGAGAGAGAGAGAGAGAGAGAGACAGACAGACAGACAGAGAGGAGACAGATAGACAGAGAGGGAGACAGATAGACAGAGAGAGACAGACTGAGAGGAGACTGAGAGACTGGAGACAGACAGACAGACAGACAGAGAGGAGACAGACAGACAGACAGACAGAGAGGAGACAGCAGACAGACAGAGGGGGAGACAGACAGACAGACAGAGGGATGACAGACAGACAGAGGAGACAGACAGACAGAGAGACAGAGGAGGGAGACAGACAGACAGAGAGGGAGACAGACAGACAAGACAGAGGGAGACAGACAGACAGACAAACAGACAGACAAGACAGAGAGGGAGACAGAAAGGGAGACTTCCAGAGAATACAAAAGAAAATTATAATTAGGAAAAGAAAAGTCATATTTTTTACTATTTTCCAACCACTAATTTTTTTTTACAGACAAGATTGTTTATTAACTGATTTACTTTAATGTTTATTTAACTTACAAATATTAAGTGACAT